CATTACCCCCCTTTAGTTTATGACCATGTGTCTCAAGTCCTTTAGATTCTATATTTCCCATACTATTCTTGCCCTCCCCCCATCTATTTTCTATCTACTGTCTATGCTACTTATTTTCTGTACCTTCTCCTCCCTTCTCCTCCTCCCACTCCCCTGTTGCTAACCCTCCTTGAGATCTTCATTCCTATGTTTCCACTCCTGATCTAGCTGTCCTTTTAGTTTGCTTTTGTTTTAGGTGTGGTTGTTACTAACTGTGAGTGTGCTGTCCTTTCACTGTTCATCTTTTTTATCTTCTTTTTCTTAGATAAGTCCCTTTAGCATTTCATATAATAATGGCTTGGTGATGATGAACTCCTTGAATTTGATCTTATCTGAGAAGCACTTTATCTGTCCTTCCATTCTAAATGAAAGTTTTTCTGGATAGAGCAATCTTGGTTGTAGGTCTTTGAATTTCATGACTTGGAGTACCTCTTTCCAGCCCCTTCTTGCCTGTAAGGTGTCTTTTGAGAAATCCGCTGACAGTCTGATGGGAACTCCTTTGTAGGTGACTGTCCCCTTAGCTCTTGCTGCTTCTAGGATTCTCTCCTTCATTTTAATTTTGGCTAACGTAATGATGATGTGCCTTGGTGTGTTCCTCCTTGGGTCCAACTTCTTTGGGACTCTCTGAGCTTCCTGGATTTCCTGGAAGTCTATTTCCTTTGCCAGATTGGGGAAATTCTCCTTTATTATTTGTTCAAATAAGTTTTCCACTCATGGCTGTCCCTTTCCCCCTTCTGGTACCCCTATAATTCGGATGTTGGAGTGTTTAAAGATGTCCTGGAGGTTCCTAAGACTCTCCTCATTTCTTTAAATTCTTGCTTCTTGACTCTTTTCTGTTTGGCCATTATTTACTTTCTTCTGGTCCACTCCATTGATTTGAGTCCCAGTTTCCTTTTCATCGCTATTGATTTCCTTTGCAATTCCATTCATTTCAATTAGTTTCGCCTTCATATGTTTGTCTAATTTGTGGCTATAATCAACCAGTTCTGTGAGGATCCTGATCACCAGTGTTTTAAACTGTGAGTCTGAGAGTTTTGCTATTTCTTCATCGCTTAGATTTATAGGCTCAGGGGCTTTGAGATCTTCTTGAGCCAGTTTTGGTCTGTTCTGGCCCTTTAAGTGTGAGAAGCGGAGCCTTGGACTCCCAGGTCGCTGGGTTGTGACGCTGTATGTGGGGGCGTGGTCAGAGCGGGGAAATGGCGGCGCCCTCTGCTGTTTCTCACAGCTGGGTGAGGAGCAGCGCCTTAGGTGGTTCGCTGGGTTATGACACTGTATGTGAAGGTGGGGTCAGAGCAGGGAAATGGTGGCGCCTTCCCTGCCGCTTGCTGTGGGGACCCGCTGGATTCCGGTCCAATCGCCCACTCCCTCGCTTGTCTATCCATGCACAAATGCAGGACCACAGTCAACACGCAGCCCTGCTCCCCTGCTGTCTCCCCTGCGGTCGCTCGCTCGGTCGCTCACTAGGTCCAACCCTGCGCCTGGATTCTGTGCGCCTGTGTCCGTCTGACCGAGTTTTCCTGTGCAACCCCGGTCCACCAGCTGCTGGTTTCGCCCCTTACCGATCAGGCTGAAGAATTTGTTGTTAACAGACTTCTGAAAAGTTCAATTTTCTGTGTTCTGGCTGTGTTTTCTGTTGCTCATATTTAGTTGTCTCTAAACTTGGTTGTGTGAGAAGGCACAGCACATCCACCTATGCCTCCATCTTGGCGGAAGTCCTGTTTCTTTATTCTTACCAATCCAATGCTGTACAGTGAAGTTGGGCCAGAATGCTGACCTTGCAGTGGCCCCTCTTTTTCTCTAGGATACACTTCTTAAGGCAACACTTTAAGCCCATTTGTAGATGAACATGTCATATCTTTTGAGACTCATCACCCAGTCAACTTCCCCACCATACTTTGTGCTTTAATATTTTGTGGTACCTCCACCCACTATGATGTTTCATGCCTTTTTGCTTTGCAGGTGGTCTCTGTGATGCATGGGAGGTGCCTCTTCCCACCTGCTGAGTGAACTCTTGGTCAGCGTTGAAGCCTTTTCTGATTCTCTTTTTCCAGATTTCATTATGCTTTACACTATGCCATGTGCCATCTTTTCAATGCCTGTGAGACATTATATTAAAATTCCTTAGGAGATTGAGTTTTCTAAAGACACAGATCCACGGATTGGCACAAAGTAGTATTTATAGTATTTTTTGGACAGAAATGAATCAAATTAGAGAGGTTCTCTGTTGGTAAGTAGGTACATATTAAAGGGTGTCTGTTTCTCTAGTCCCCTGAAAAGACCTCTGACTCTCTGAGAGCCATGCCAGGACGTGGTCTTATGGGCCCAGGGCTGTGTTGGGCCTTTCAAGTATTGGCTAAGGTGCAAATAGTTCATTGAAGAGATCAGGTTTGCAAGCCCCTTACAAAGAGTTCTGATTTGTTGTTGAAGGCAATGAGTGAATTATAACTGATTTGCAAAAAAAAGGGGGGTGTATATGCTGAAGTCAGAGATGAATTGCACTGATGTCTATAACTCACATGAAATATGTCAGAAAATAAGACAACCGATGGGTGAGTAGAGGGACCGGATGACTGTGTGTGTGATGGAGCAAATGGAGCAAAATGTGACTTGAGTGTCCAGGTGCTGGGTGCATGGATCACTGTGTAGTTCTCAACTTTTCTTAAAACTTGAAACTTTTCATAATAAAATGCTGAGGAACAGGAATCTGCTATTATTTTTAATAATGCATATATTGGCTAGGCATATCTATAATGAACACAGATCATCAACATGAACTTCCTAAGCCTTCTTAATTATTTTTCTTCCTTGTATTGTTCCTCCTGTCTTTATCTAGTCAAATTCCAGTTCTTATGTTGCTTGCTTAAAATCTCCCTGACCATCCAGTCTGATTTATGTGTTCCTCCTGTGTTTCCCCGAGCACCGCTTGCATATTTCTGCCATAGGACTTACTGTCCTGTACTATGTTCGTTTACTAATCTGTCTGGACCACTAACTAGACTTTGAGTTCCTTGAGTGTAAACACTGTTTTTGGAATGTTTTGGGTACAAGTAAAAACAAAAACAACAATAAATAGACTAACAATAGTTTAAATAAATAGCAGTTATTTTCTCCCATGATAGGAGTCTGGAGGAAGCATTTCCGGTTCCCGGGTAGGTTCCGTGATGGCCACTCAGCAGCCTTTCTCCTGTCTCACCCCTTGTCACATCAGGTTCACTGAGGCAGTTCTGTGGATCGGAAGTAGCCAACCATGGTTAATTCAGTTTTTGAGCTTTCGGCACATTTTAATGAATGTCTGTGAATTTGGTGAACAGCCTTCAGTTTGTTTGTGATTTCTTTTAAGAAAATTGATTTCGTGCTTTTGAAAATAACAGTTCAGAATTACATGTGTTTATAAAAACCCCCCTCCTCAACCTAGAAAATCACTTCTGTCCATTTGTTAAAACAGCTATAATAATTCATAGCAGCAAGGTTGCTTCAGAGAAATTATGTGACCGCTTACTGGTGGGGGTGAGGAGGGCTCTAACCTTATTCCCCACCCTCAGCTCTATGGGAAACAGTTGCAGACCAGAAACTAGGCCAGAGCAGTTTCACTTCCTAAACTAAAGCCTTTTGGGGGGGGCCTACTTTTTTACCCCACTTACTCTATTTTAGTCACAACTCAAATGTGCATAATTATCTAGTTAATGGCTTAGAATACTTATTAAAAAGCACATAATTAGAAAAGGGAGAGTGGAAAGAAGGCCCGGTGTGGGCGAATAAGCACCAGTGACGGGAAAGAAGCAGACTGTCTCCACGGGCGGCGGCAGTGGCGACCACCCTTAGAAAGGAGAGCGAGTCACCTGTGGTCCTGCCACCCGTGGGTACTCACTGTTAGCAGCGTGTTTCTTGCTAGTATTTCAGTCTCTGTATTCCTATATTTAAAACCAATTTCAGATCATATTTATGTAGTTTTGTGTATTTTCTCATGTATTTTATCTATCCTTATTAAATGGAGCAGGCTGAGCACTTTTCTTGAAGATTTAACTCTTAAAGATAGTTTTGTGTTTTTTGTAAACTTTCTGCCAGTGATTGACAGGATTTAGAGTATGCTACCCTAAGATCTGCCACTTTGGCATAAGGATTGTTTTGAGCTAAGGGCAATTGAGAAAGATAATGATGGGAAGAGAAGCTGCCTTCCCCTCTCTGTGGGAAGAGAAGGGCAGTTCCTACTCACCTGAGACAACTCTAGATGCCAGCGAGGAGCCCGGAGGAGCCCAGAGAGGCACCAGAGGAATCTGCCTAACAAACCTTGCTCACCCTCACCTTTTGTTGGTTTCCCCACGCATTTACCTTCCCACAGTTTGCCACTCCTACAAGTGCAAAGCCTCTTTCCTGTGTTTTGTCACTTCTCTAGAAAATGTATTGTTCTTTTGTTAAGATACTTCACAAGCCCGGGTTCTAATCACCCCCTTTGATTGCTCATCACTGCGTTCTCCTGTGTGTGTGTGTGTGTGTGTGTGTGCACGTGCACGCACACGTGAGTATATGCAAGACACACATTAATAAGCTATTTGTTTTTTCTTTTCACTTCTCTTTGTTTTCTCGTAAATCTGCCTTTTGTCAGTCTAATTTTGGAGCCTCTGCCAGTGACTTAAGATGGGTTTGTTTTTCCTTCCCTACAGTGTTTATTACTCTTCATTTTAAATATTTAAAAAAATATTTTAGGCATTCAAGAGTGCTTCCTGTTCAACTCCTGGTCATTTGAAACTGTAATTTTTCTTACATTCTTATTTTGTTAAAAATGATCAGGTAATGCTTCTTTTAATAGCTGTCTGAGAAGTCCTACTTGTTACGTACAAGTAAGACTGAGCTAAGAAGAATTACTCTCTGTTGGAATGTCTGGATTAGGCTTTTCTGGAATATATGTACTTCACTTGGGTTGACCCAAACTGCCTCTAAGTTTCTGTGTTTCTCATTGGCAGTTCTTCAACTGGGTCTTCTGCCTGTGCGTCACAACCTCAGAAAACCAGCAGGATGGCTGCAAACAAGAGTAAGAGCCAGAGCTCCTTGGCCCTGCACAAGGTGATCATGGTTGGCAGTGGAGGGGTTGGCAAGTCAGCCCTGACGCTTCAGTTCATGTATGATGAGGTAAGCCATGCCAAGTACAGGCCACCTTTGTCCTCCTGTCTGCTATGGCAGTGTCCCCTCTCCAGCAGTGTTCACGTGCCTGTTCCCCACGTGCATGGAGGATCACGGGGCAAACTCATGTGAAGGTGATTTCTGAATAGCTTTTTAAGGGGCCTTGCCTGCATAAAATCTGGATTGCTGCTTTTTTGGTTAATTTCAGCTCCAGCAGGTATGGGGGGTGCCCTACTTGCATTATTTTCATTGTTATTGTTTGAGCTGTCTTTCTGGCAGGAGCAAGAGAGGAGAGGGGACCTTTGTACAGTTATTTCTAAAGAACAGGTTGGTACTTAGCTCTTTAATAGTCAATTTTAGGACCTATTGGAAGGGGAATTAAGTTGTCATAAGACTAAATTTTTTTTCAAGTGGTAGACATCAGGTTCTCCTTCCAGCAAGGTGAAGCAAGCACTACCCTCGCCCCGACTTCCATCACTTGACGTCGGTAATGTAACTGGTGCTGAGTCCAGTGTGACAACACAGGCTTGATTCCTGTGGTGACGGGTGCCCCTGCTTGGTGATGGTTGCTGATACTAGAGTGTTTGGATCAGAGCTTAACGGTCGGGACCTCTCTCACTTGCTTCACATTTCACATGGCACGTGCTTCACAAAATTTGTGGAAGGAAGCTGTCAGAACCACAGTCGGTTAAGATCATTATCCCTTTTCATTAGACTTTCCATCTGCCCAGCTCCTCTTATGTTGGGTGGTGCTGGGGTGGCCATGGGCATTTTGGGGATTTAGCTGAGGCAAGCTGATTAAGGATATGTTTAGTTGGGGATTAGTGGTGTATATTGATGTGGTTCAGAGTCACTTTGGTGGTTATTACCAGCTGTCCCAGTGGAGGAATGGCTTCCAGGAAAATTCTTACCACCCACTGTGCCGACTCACCAGGCACCGTGACAGGAGCTGAGCCCGAGGGGCGTGCATGGTGACATGGACATGTCCTCTGACACCTGGCACTGAATGGATGGGCTGTGAGGGAGGAATAGGGATCGAAACAACAATAAAATTTAAGTGTTTTAAGAAAAAAAACCCGTAAGGGGCTAGAATCTGGTGTGCAAAGTTCTTCCCTATCTTACAGGAAAGCTTGATAGAGGTATCCTAATTTTGATGGTAGTCCTAAATGTTTCATTGCTAGTAATGTTAAGTAGTTGTGAAGCTGAAGAAACCTTTCTAAACTATCAATAAAAAAGAAACTTGGATCAACTAGATTACTGGGAAGACTAAATTATTTTTTTAATTCTCTATAAGAAATATTTCAAAAGCATTGGTATAGGACAAGCTAATCAAAGAATATACAGCAACCCCCCAAACACTAGGAAGGTATTCTAGAGGTATGCCAGACATTTAATTAATAAAAATGTTATTTTGCTGGATTTTGTAATGTGTTATTTGTATTAGTTTTCTGTTGCTGTATAACAAATCACCACAACTCAGCAGTTTAAAATGACGCATATTCGTTGGCTGCAGTTTCCAGGGGTCAGGTATTTGGGTGCCAGCTTACCTGGGTACCTGCTGAGGGACTCACAGGGCTGCATGCAGCACAGTGTCAGGGGTTGCTCTGAGCTCAGCCGAGGCCTGGGTCCTTGTCCAACCTCCCTGGTAGCTGGACAGTGTACGCTGGAGGTCCACAGCTTTGAGAGGTCTCTGCTACAGGCCTTCTTCATAGGTGTTCATACCCTGGCCGCTTATTTCTTCAAGGCCAGGAGGAATGCCTGTCTGGTTAGCTAAGACAGATTCTTACATAAGGAAATGTAGTCCCGGGCTATTCGCGTTCAATCCCTTTGCGACATTCTTTTGGTCAGAAGCCTGTCACAGTTTCCCCTGAATTCAAGGGGAGGGCATCATACAAAGGCATATTTACCGAGGGTCACTTGAAGGGGTGTATTTGTCCATGAAAAAAATTTGTAACGAGTTTTGATTTCTCCTGGTTGTTCACTTCTCTATCCAATATTATATGTATAATTTTATGTTTTCTTAAAGAGGGTCCCCCAAATGAATAAACTTCAGACCAAAATCATAATCTCTTCTGGGTTATAACTCTGCTTTTTCTTTATAATGAGAAACTTGTTTTTTGATGCTTGCTTTTATTCATCTTGTTGTAGGGGCCAAAATAGGGAAATCTGGCAGAACCTGCTTAATTTATCCGCACATTTTTGCATAAAAGAAGAGATGCAAATTTTCAAGTCCCAAGTCTTTGTTTTTGCTTATTAACTTGATTTGCATAGGAAAAACTCCTTACTTTTTTTTAAAGAGTGGAGACTATGGAAGAATAGAGGGTGAGGAGAGGAATTAAGACGAAGGAGGTAGGATTAGAGGTGGTTTGTTAATGAGATGAGGGAAGGGGGTTTGACGCCCCTAAAGAATGAATAACTGGCTATGTCATGTATTTTTGGTTGTCACAACTGGACGTCAGGTACTACTCACTCCTAGTGGGTAGAGAGGCCAGGAATGCTCTTAACGTCCTACCACACACAGGAGAGAATGATCCTGTCCACAGTGTCCATAGTGCTGCTGTGGATTAGAGGCAGAGCTCTGAGAATAGGATCCTTTTCAGCACGGCTGCACACTGAGAGGCTGGGAGTCTCGTTTGGATTTTCATTGTGTGCTTGTGTGTGTGTGTGGCATGAGAGAGGGAAAAGACTCATGCAGAGCTGTTTTCTTTAGCTTCTTCAGAGAAACAAAAGAAAGCTGCTTTTGACCTTAGGCTATTTTTCTCATGGGTTAACATATTTGAGGAATGAAGGCAGCAGTTATTAAGAAATGGTAAAGTTAGATCAGAACAAGGGAAGAATAGAGATGAAGTCATGTGTGTTTGGGGAACTCTTTTAATTGATTTCTAAAAAAGTGTTGTCTAGTAGAACCTTCCGCAGTGATGAAAGTGTTCTGTAGCTACACTGTTCGGTACATGTGGCCACTGAGTACTTCCCACATGGCTGGTGGCTGCTATATTGGACAGTATAGTTTCAGAAGTACAATTTTGGCACTTGAAGAAACCGTAGCAGTGATTCCCAAACCTAGCTAATCATAGAACTCCTCCCCAGGAGTTCTTTTTAAAAATACCTTCTGAATAACATTTCTGGAGTTGAGAACTAGGAGTCTTTCTTTTTATAAAGCCCTCTAGCTATTCTGATGTACACCCAGGATTTCTCCTGCTTGAGGGATGATCCAGTCAAACCTGATTTCATAGAAAAGGAAACTTAGTCCTATAGTTGGGGATTCTGTGGTCTAAACCATTCAAACTCTCTGTTCCTGGTCCAATGCTTTACCCTTAGTTTAAAAGAACTTTAATTTATACGGTGGAATTGCCATGAAAATTGGATTGTGGAAAGAGCCATAGTCCCAGAGTTCTGTTTTTCCTAAGTTCTGACTTTGAGAAAAATTAGGCAGAGATTTTGACCTTTTTATTCTTGGCCTAACATACTTGAAGACTTTAAAAAATATTTTATTGGTTATGCTATTACAGTTGTTCCATTTTTTTCTTCCACTTTATTTCCCTTTGCCCTGCACGCCCCCCTCCAACCAACACTCTCACCCCTGCCTTAGTTCACATCCATGGGTCGTTCATATACGTTCGTTCTTTGGCTTTTCCATTTCCTATGCTATTCTTAACCTTCCCCGTCTATTTTGTACCTATCATTTATGCTTCTTATTCCCTGTACCTTTTCCCCCAATCTCCCCTTCCCCACTGATAACCCTCCATGTGATCTCCATTTCTGTGATTCTGTTCCTGTTATAGTTGTTTGCTTAGGTTTTTTTTTAGGTTTGGTTGTTGATAGTTGTGAGTTTGTTATCATTTTACTATTTGTATTTTTTTTATCACCTTTTTCTTAGGTAAGTCCCTTTTCATATAACATTTCATATAGTAAGGGCTTGATGGTGATGAACTCCTTGAACTTGACCTTATCTGGGAAGCACTTTATCTGCCCTTCCATTCTAAATAATAGCTTTGCTGGATAGAGTAATCTTGGATGTAGGTCCTTTCCTTTCATGACTTTGAATCCTTCTTCCCAGCTTCTTCTTGCCTGCAAGGTTTCTTTTGAGAAATCAGCTGCTAGTCTTATGGGAACTCCTTTGTTGGTAACTGTCTCCTTTTCTCTTGCTGCTTTTAAGATTCTCTCCTTATCTTTAATCTTGGGTAATGTAATGATGATGTGCCTTGGTGTGTTCCTCCTTGGATCCAACTTCTTTGGGACTCTCTGAGCTTCCTGGACTTCCTGGAAGTCTATTTCCTTTGCCAGCTTGGGGAAGTTCTCCTTCATTGTTTTCAAAGAAGTTTTCAATTTTTCTGTTCTTACTTTTCTCCTTCTGGCACCCCTATGATTGGGAGGTGGGAATGTTTAAAGTTGTCCCAGAGGTATCTAAGCCTCTCCTTATTTTTTTGAATTCTTGTTTCTTCATTCAGTTCTAGCTGAATGTCTGTTTCTTTCTTCTGCTTCAACTTGTTGACTTGAGTCCTGGTTTCCTTCCCTTCAACTGTTGGTTCCCTGTGCATTTTCCTTTATTTCACTTTTTATAGCCTTCACTTTTTATAGCCTTCACTTTTTCCTCAATTTTGGGACCACACTCAATTATTTCTGTGAGCATCCTGATTACCAGCTTTTTGAACTCTGCATCTGATTGGTTGGCGCTCTCTTCATCACTTAGTTCTGTTTTTGAAGCTTTGATCTGTTTTTTCATTTGGGCCATATATCTTTGTCTTGGTGTACCTGTTATGTTAAGGGGTGGAGCCTTAGGTATTCGCCAGGGCCAGGCAACTCATGTCATTGCTATTGTGGTGTTACATTTCAGGGAGGGGTCCAAGTGGGAACAGTGCTGCTTGCTCGGTTCTCAGCCTGCTTTCAATCACTTCCCCCGCTTGCCCATAGCCACTTTGACCCTTCTGGTGCTGATTCCCAGGTGGGAGGTTTTGTGAATGTTCTAGGACCCTATGGGTCTCTCCAATGAACTCTCCTGGGAGTCTGGGAGTTTCTTTTGCCTCCTCAGCCCCCACAGGTTTTTTTCAGTCAGAGGTTTTGAGGCTTTATTTCTCCGTGTTGAAATCCTGGGTCTCTCAGCCTGTCTGGCTCCCTAGCTGTTCCTCCCGGTTTATCCGCATGAAGATGGGGGGCTGCCAGGTTCTCTAGCTGGTGTCCTGCTGTGAGTCCTTTTCACCCCATCTCTGGTCTGGATGAATGTTTCTTCTTTAACTCCTTGGTTGTTGGACTTACATACAATTTGATTTTTTAGCGTTTTTTTTTTTTTAATTCAAATTTGTTGTCCTTTTGGTTGTGCAAGGTGGCAAAGTGTATCTACCTATGCCTCCAGTGTCTACTTGAAGACTTTTTAAGCTATTTGCCATTTCTGGTAAGGTAAGGTTGGTGTCGGGGGGACTTTGGCAGCAAACACTTCAGACTTTTAGTGGCTAGCAGAGTCAGCTGAGATGTGGCTTAGTGCACAGGGGTGTGTATGAAGTTTGACTTAGAATTGTGTGTCTTGGTCATGTGGACATGAATTGCACATGGCCCTACGAGGCCAGGGATATGGTTCATCTTAACAGATACCATGACTTTGGGGATTTTCAATTTCTAGTGGAAAAATGAAAACATCAAGGTTGTAATCTAATGTCCTATTAGTAAGCACAGCGTTTCTTATCACAGAGGTATGTGGTCATATCAGGATATTCTGACTTCTAGTGTCAAAGGAGTCAGTGGAACTCTCATTGGTATTAACTTTGAAAGCTCAGAAATATGCACTTGTGATGCTTTATGGAGGTTTTCGTAGATTTTCACTGTAGGCGGGTGAGCTGGTCATGTGTCTTTTGGAAAGGAGTTAAAAGAAGGACACTGTTGTGCAGCAGAAGCAAATTTTCACATTTATTATTATATAATATATTATATTATATTTATATTATATATTTGTATATTATATCATTATACTTATAATTATTAGGATGAATAGGAAAACCTAATGCTAAAATATTTTAGTGTTCTATTTTTAGATTTAAAATCATTAGAACTAGTAGCTCCTAGTTGGCATTACACAGCTGTTTTCAAGAGTTTTCTTCAAAGGACCCATAAGTTCATGTCGATATTTTCTTTTCAATTTTCAAGTCTTTAAAAATTTTAATTAGACCTGGCTCTTGTAGCTCAGTGCATTGAGCATGGGCTGCGAACCAGAGGGTTGCCGGTTTGATTCCCAGTCGGGGGACATGCCTTGATTTGCAGGCCAGGTCCCCAGTGGTGTTTCTCTCCCTCTCTTTCTTCCTCCCTTCCCCTCTCTCTAAAAATAAATAAATAAGATCTTTAAAAAATCTTTAAAAATTTTAGAGTTTTATTAAGACATAATTCACACACCATGAAATTCACCCTTTTAAAGTGTACAGTTCAGTGATTTTTAGTATATTCACACAGGTGCACAAGCATCAGCACTGTGAGTTTAGAAGATTTCATCACTTCTTCCGCCCAAACACCCTGTGCATTAGTCATTCCTCATTACTGCTTCCTTTTCCCATCTCGGTCCCTGACAGCCACTTTCTGGTTTTATGGATTTGCCTACCCCAGACATTTTTATATAAACAGAATCATACAATGTGTGACTTTTATATCTAGCTTCTTTTGCTTAACATAATGTTTTGAAAGTTCATCCATGTTGTAGCATTATTTCATTTTTTTAAAAAATTGAGATAGGATTCAATACACCATAAAAATCACCCCTTTAGAAGTGTAAAATTCAGTGTTGTTTAGTATATTCACAAATTTGTACAACCATCACTATCTAATTCCAGAACATCACCCAGAAAGGAACTGTGTACCCGCCAGCAGTCACTCTTCATTTGCCTTGCCCACAGCCCTAGCAGCCACTGCTCTACTTTCTGTTTCCACAGATTCGTCTGTTCTGGACAGTTCATATGAATACACTCATAATATATGACTCTATCTTCTACTTTTTCTGTTTACCGTAATCTGTCAAGGTTCATCCAGGTTGTAGCATGAATCAGTGCTTTTTACTTTTGATGTCAGGCTAATCTTCCATTATCTGCATGTGCCATGTTTTGTCTATCCATCCATCAATCGTCAGTCTGTGTTTTGCCAGTAGGATAAGTAATATCCTGGAAGTGCAAAACTGTTTTCCACTACAGCTGCACCTTTTTATTATCCCCACTAGCACTGTGTGAGAGTTCCAGTTTCTCCATATTCTTGTCAACGCTTTTTGTCATCCATCTTTTTGATTGCAGCATCCTAGTAGTGAAATGGTATCTTATTGTGGTTTTGATTTGCATTTCCCTAATGATTAATGATGTTGAGCATCTTTTCATGTACTTCTTGGACATTTGTATGTCTTCTTTGGAGAAATGTCTATTCAGATTTTTTGCCTGTTTTTTCATTGGGCAGTTTGTCTTTTCATTACTGAGTTTGGGACAGAGGATAAGTGCTTCTTGAGTTCTATCAGGTGTTGCCATGTTCATCTCCATAAGGATGTACTATTCTCTACTTCTGTAGCAATGTACAAGAGTGCCTTTTCCAGAGTATGTTGTCAGACTGGGAATTTTGCCATTCTGGTATCTCCAGATAGTTACAATTTTTGTTTTCTTTATTACTGAGTATGAACATTTCTTCATGGGTTTAATATCATACGTATCAATATTTATTTTTCTGTGAATTGTTTATGTTTGTTGCCACTTTTCCCCATTGTATCCTTGATCTTTTTTCCCTTTCCTTTTTGTGGGAGGGGAAAAATCTTTGTGATATGGCTTCAAATACGTTTCCTTGTTTGTCATTGGCCCTTGTTTATAGTGTATTGTGCCAAACAGAAGTCTTTTATTAATTTCTTTTACTTAGTCTAATTTATCAAAAAAAATTTTTTTCCTGGCTTCTGGATTTTGAGTTATTGTTATTAAAAGGACTTTCATTACTTAAAGGTGTTAAAGGGATTTCACCCACATTTTCTTCTGATACTTGAGGATTTTACCTTTTACATTTAATCTTTGATACATTTGGAGTTTATCATGTCATATAATTAGTTAAGCTTCTTGGTACCTCTTATCAGATGACTTTTCAGGTGAGTTAAGTTTCTGTGGATTATGAATAGGAGCCCATTTCTCGCCCTTGCTAGTGTTTGTATTATAATTTTATACTGATGGGAATGTTGCCCAGGATTCTGCTGTGTGCTTGGTTCCCTTATCTGTAAAATCGGATCATCTGCTCTTGTTTAAAAAGAAAAAAAAATGGTAGCACTGAGGAATTAAGAACAGAATTGTTATATAGGAAGTTATTTTTATTTTGTAGCACCTGACACATAGCATGATAGTTATAGGCACCCAGTAATACTCAGTTCCATACCCACTTGCTTATAGATTAAGTATCTGTATATTGACATTTATTTTTTGGCAGATTTTATTTCCCTTAAAACTGTGTCGATTACTAATAATGTTGTTTATTTCCTCAGTTTGTTGAAGACTATGAACCTACCAAAGCAGACAGTTACAGAAAGAAAGTTGTGCTTGATGGAGAAGAAGTCCAGATAGACATTCTGGACACTGCTGGACAGGAGGACTACGCAGCCATTCGAGACAACTACTTTCGGAGTGGGGAAGGCTTTCTACTGGTGTTCTCAATTACTGAGCACGAGTCATTCACAGCGACGGCGGAGTTCAGGTGTGCTGGGGGTGGTCCGTAGCCCCCAGGAGGCTTTCTGTCTTCCTTTCACGTGTCTGGACTCAGAAGGAATTGGGGCTCAGAATAGTAGTGGAGGGTTGAGCCTGTAATTAGGAAGAATCCTTCTAAAGAATTTTCCGGATTTTTTGAATCTTGGCATGTTATTGTTACAATCTGTTTGGACTTCCCTGTTTTCCATAAGAGGGACAATGTGTCTCATACATTCAAGAGCCCATGGTTCTGTTATAACCAAGCTGTAAATCCTGAGAGACAGTGATTGATAAGAGTTAACTCTATCTTTTAAATAATTTTGCTAGAAAAGCAACAAGTTTGATCTGTTTTGAAGGTTATGAAACATTGTCAGCAGAGTGACAGACATGAGTCAGAGTGACCATTTGCTGCTACCATAAGGACTTAGCATAGTTGAGTAGAAAGAACCCAGCTTCTGCATCGGACAGACCTGGGTTTAAATCCCTGCCACGTACCAGTTTAGTGACCCTGGGCAAGCTTACTCAGCATCGGAGATTCTGTCTCCTTATATGAAGATATGCTTGTTAGTTGAGGTAATGAAGTGAAAAGATGCTTTAGACTGCAAATTCCACCCTTGATTGTCCTGTGTCCCCAGGCCCTCTCACAGTGTGCTCACATGGTCCTTACACAGTGGGTGGAATAGTCACTGCTCTAAATCATTTGAAAGTATGGTAAAGACACCTTAAGTTTATTTTGTTATAAGGAAATAGTGAGCTGTTAGACATAGTTCTTACGGAAATTCTAATGGGAAGTGTCTTTTTCTCTTTCCATCATTTTTTCTTATGCAATTTTTTTTCACTTATCCTCCTCATAAACCTATCTGTCCCAATGACTCTTTCCTTTAATACTTAGATCTAGACTCTAATAGGGAACTAAAAAGGGAAAAAAAACCACTGTAACTTTTTTCATTTTTTTAGCAAGTTTGATTAGGAATTAAGGTAACCAAAGGGATTAAGGTTTGATTGGTTTGGTAAGGAAATGAGGAAGCTAAATATCCCCTCAAGATCGGGAAGGAAACACCTGTGAGTCATGGACGAGCCCTCAGGAGGTGGGCTCCAGGGGACCAGCTGAGAAAGTGGAAAGTAATAAGGGAGTGACTCTGAGTTGCAGGACCTCATAGGTTGGGTATCTGGGCTGTGTTGATCAGTCAAATGACTAGGACTCCTGATGAGAAGTCCTTTAATTTTTAGACTTCTCTGACATATCTTGACGTTTCTATGTGTGGTTATAGCCCGTGGACTTATAATTGTATTTGCAGCTACACAATTCTGTTTTTATTCTTCCTTGTGGTAAAACAGAACAGATGCGCACTACCTTATTTCTTCCCTTTCTTGAGCCTTTTGATTTTTTTATTGCTCTGTGACTCACCATGAAAGGCAATGTTGGGCAGCAGAAGAGTCTTCTCCAGAGAATAGATGATGCCACCCTTGCCACCTTTGTCCTGTCTCCCCTGGATTAACTAACACGCACACACACTCACGCACAAATTCTTGCAATATTTGTGTGTTCTCATAGAGTTGGAGCAGTCTCATCTCATCTTGGAAGAAGGGTTTTGGTTACTTAGAGAAGAGGGATTTTTAGAAGACAAAGGACAGGACTACCTAAAGGAAAAAGGAAGGAAAGTTAGTTCTTCCAACTTGAACTCTGACATTTAGATACAAATCTCAGAGCTGTCCAAGTTTCTTTATCATTGGAATCACGTAGGTTATCTGAGCCTTTGTGACTAAAATCAGTCACTTTATGCCTGTTAGCACTTTAAAAATGTACCATTTCTGTATTTATCTTCTAAATGGAAAGACCCCAACATAAAACGAAATGTTAATATACTCTGTTTTGAAACTTTTCCTGGACATATTCTATGAACTAATGAAATGGGCTTTGATATAAGAGATCAGAAATTGCTACTTCCATTTTTGGATCAATATATTTATTAATCAGGTAATTTTATATTCCTGTGTAAGATTAATGAGCCAGAAAGCTATCAGTTTTTGTTGTTTGTAATTTATATTAATTACATAAGTACTAAATGTTGAAATATAGGGGATAGCAGTTTTCAAGCATCTAATGTCTGTTCATTTTTCTTAAAATATTTGATATGTGGCACTTCAGTTGACTGAAAGAAATCTTAAATATTTTTATTATAAAAGGTTATCCTAAATCATATACAAATCAATGCAAGTCTCCACAAAATACATTTTTGAAGGGTTCCCACTGGATCAGAATAGTACAAGAGGAGTATTTGATTTTTTTAATATTTGGTTTTGATTAATAACTTTAGATAGCTGATTATTTCTAATAGAGGTAAAATTTGATGTGCTACAGGTAACAGCTCTTTTAGAGAGGATGTTTTTGAAGTATTTTTTCATAGACCTTGGAGTATTTCCTTTCTCTTCACTTTGTTTGGAAAAATAATGTATGTTAAATACAATTACTGCCTAATATAGCTGTCCCCATCCTGTGGTCTGCGACATTCACTGTGTCTAAAGCAGTGGGGGTGCAGAGGGGTGGGGAAGGTGGTGCAGACACGTACAGATATCACAGCAGAAGTTTCACAAAACCATTACTTACTCAGCTGGTCTCCTGGAGCTTCACCTCCTGGGGGCTCCTCCATGGCTCACGGGTGCTTCCTTCCCTATCTTGAGGGGATATTTAGCTTCCTCATGTTCACCTTGATTCCTAACCAAACTTGCTAAAAAAAAAATGAAAAAAGTTCTACTAGAGACTCCTGCTGATGTTTCTTTTCTGTTCTTTTTCAGTGAAGGAAAAAAATTACTGGTTGTGACCCACTAAATTGATTTTACAATCTACTAATTGACTGTTAACCTTCCATGTGAAAAACACTGGATTTCATAGCTTTTATTCTCACAAAGAAATCATACAATTTCTTTTTTCAGGGGACTTATTAAGCGTTTTATATACAGAGATACTTGTTTCAGCTTGGTTTATCTTTGCAGTCCCTATGGTTTTTTTCCCTGAGCATAAATTGGGGACCCTATTGATATGCAGAATCCTGGGCTCCTGTGCAAGCATTTACTTCCACAGGGCAAGTTGTGGGGCCTAGAAATCTGCCTTTGTAATGAGCACACCAGGTCATTCCTAGCACCAGGCTTGGAAAACCCTTTTCTGGTTTATGCAGGATCTAGGTTGGGAATGTGTCCTTGTGATATATGCTGTAAGTATAGCAGTTTCTTCTTTTGCCTTTGGAAAGCATTTCATTTTAGATGACTTTATATCTGATGTACTGCTGCCGTAGGGAACAGATCCTCCGTGTTAAGGCTGAAGAAGATAAAATTCCATTGCTTGTGGTGGGAAACAAGTCAGACTTGGAGGAGCGGAGGCAGGTGCCAGTGGAGGAGGCGCGGAGCAAGGCCGAGGAGTGGGGCGTGCAGTATGTGGAGACCTCGGCGAAGACTCGGGCCAACGTGGACAAGGTGGGGTCGCTCTCTGCCTCTTTCTTGGAAACAGACTTGAGAAACGGCAGAAGCTAGGCATCTCATAGGTTTGGTTTAAGGCTTATGGAAACTAGGGGTTTTTCCAGGTGTCTATGTCATTATAATGAGAAGCACCTGGAGGGTTTCACCCATGTTTTAAAACAACCCAGAGTCCTTTCACTTTGTTGGGAACCTTGTTGGAGGTGCCTGATGTTGGCACAGCCCTGGAAGGGTGGTGAGATGAGGCCATTTGTTTATGCAGACTCTGCTGAAGGGGTGGACAGAAGTACAGCAAGTCCTCAAGTGATGTCATTCTGTTACAGTGATGCTGAGAAGTATAGGAACTTGTTTGTACCCTTTAGCCTGTGGTAAAACTGGTTTCTTCAGTCATACCACATATTCACTACCTCTAGTGAGAACTTTTCTGTAGCTGCCCCACGTGCTCTCATCTTTCATGGCTTGTTCTTCAGGCACAGGGCTGGAAGAAGTTTCAGTGTATCTTGATTTTGTTCTCATTGAGTTATTGGTTAGATTTATTCTTTTCACCTTTTCATTCATAGGCAGAGCCAAGGAGTTGTGTCTTTATAACTGAACCTCTAAATAATAATTGCCCTCAGGAATCAACTCTGCAGGGATTTCTTTTCTCTTCCATACTGAACTTCAGCATATTTTCTCTGTTAAATCTCTGAAGCTAGTGAAAGGATGGTCTTGATAATGATGAACAGTGACAATTTGAAAATCCATCTACCAGTGATTGCTATTGTTAGGACTTTAAAAATAAATCTAGGTTCAAAGTGGTTGTTATCTGGCTACAACAGACAACCTCAGAAACGAGGCTTTCCCTGTGCCTCACCTTGTGCATCAGCTCTTACTGCACAGTTCATAGTTGGGTAAAATCTAAACGCATTTTACTTCAGCACCAAGCACATGTCTGCCCTGTCTTATGCAGCCTCAGCAGCTGAATCCTCCAGATCACGGCTTATGTTTCTTTTTTTTAAAATAAAGGTTTTGTTTATTTATTTTTAAAGAGAGGGGAAAGGATGGAAAAAGAGAGGGAGAGAAACATCAATGTGTGGTTGCCTCTCGCACACCCCGAACTGGGGACCTGGCCTGCACCCCAGGCCTGTGCCCTATAACTGGGAATTGAACTAGTGACCCTTTAGTTTGCAAGCTGGCATTCAGTCCACTGTGCCACACCAGCCTCGGTTTATGTTTCTCTTTCTTACGGAGATAAGCTTGAGGGATGCTAGAGGAACACGGGTACCCTTAGAATGTCATGTTAGTAGCAGTTCACTTCAGAAGCACTTGGGCAGCACCTACAATGTAAACCTGTTTAGTCGTACTCTGCAATGTGATGTTCGCTCATCAGCCACTTTTTTTGTATTGTTATCCCAACTCTTATTTTGACTCTTGTGCTATTCCAACTCTCTTTCTTTCTATAAAATTGTTCCCCAGCTGTAGAAAACCTATAGGAAATCCAGACATGTACATTATTTTGAAAAATTCAGGAAGGCTTTCTCAGCATGGAGCTGTTGAGGGGTGTTTTGGGTGGGACGGGGTAGGGAGGGGCTGTTCGCAGCGGCCCGTCATCTCCCCTCCCTCCACCTGACCAGCTCGACCTGCCAAACAAGAACCAGCAGAAACTTCTGATTGGAAGTATTGTATTCACTTGTAAACAATTCACATGAAGGGTTGATAACATCAGCCAGGGAACAACTTTGTCATCATTTTAAGTTGGACACACTCCATTCCCCTCCTCCCGCCTTTTGTTAGAACAAAAAGAAAAACCTGTAACTTGTGAGGCTCTTCACTGTTCCTATTATGGGTGCTTTCCTGAGTGCTGGAGAAAGGGGTGCCTGTTCCAATGTGAGGCATTTTAGGGGAGCCCTTTTCTGTGCCCCGAGCTGGTGGTAAATGCTGGTGATGTCCCCCACTTGGTGAGCGTGGTCTTGCCTCCTCTGAGAAGGTCCACCTGTGAAGATGAAAGGAGTTTGTGGTTTGTGTGAACATCCAACGATAAAAGCCTCTACCTTGTCTTTCATTTTGTCTGGTCCTTCTCTAGGAGAAATCTCAAATGTTTGTTTTGGGGGGCATATTTTGCCTGCTGGGTATAGTCAGTACTTTGGCACTATTGCTGGTAGCAGAGGGCAAAACCCAAACTATTTGACAGATGATCATCTATCTAAATATACCACACTAGCATTGAAAGGACAAGTCTGTCCGGTCTTGATGAAGTTCCTTTGAGCTGACATTGTGAGGGACGGAGGAGGGGTTGTCCCTCAGCATTAAGGTAGGGTACACAGGCAGGGGTGGGGAAGCCTGCCAGGCCGCGCCGTCCCTCCCTTTTTTCCCCAGTTCCTGGAGCCTTCATTAGTTTTGGACTCACCCCTCCCTCGCTCCTGCCCCTCTCTTGCAGGAATACAACTGCTTTCTCAAGTCTGCTGTTGAGTTATGCTGGGAACACTGTCCTGCAAAATGGTGTTCTTAACCTTTATATGGTCCTTGTGAGGATTAAATAAGGTCCAGATCCTTGTATCATTCTCCCTTTCTGGTGGATGGGAGTGCTAGAAAATCTGATTACTATTCTCACTCTCAGTATTTGGGATGTCACTAACTGTAATAGATCTGTTTGTTTAGTGCTTCATCATACTTATCAGAAGAAAAGGTTTTACAATTTTGAAAGAAGCTGTTGAATGATAGTAACAGTATGATGCACCTGTCCTTAGGTTGACCAGTTGTATGATATCAGTCGAGATGTATCTTTTGTGAGTTGGGATATGTGTTTGAGGTTAGTTATTCTTATTTGCTCTAGGCTTTTTGTTTTTGATGGCATATGGTTTATAAGAATAAGTATGGCTTTGTGCTTAGTCTAATTGCTTTATTAAATCATTAAACAACTTCTTCCTCCCTGTTCTTCTCACCCCAGGTGTTCTTTGATCTAATGAGAGAAATCAGAGCAAAGAAGATGTCAGAAAATAAGGACAAGAATGGCAAGAAAAGCAGCAAGAACAAGAAAAGTTTTAAAGAAAGGTGTTGCTTACTGTGACTGCTGCAGTGACAGATGAAGTCAGTTGCCGCTGAGGACATAGGGTGGGGTCGTTCGGAGAAGGCTGTAGTCTCCTCCTTGGCGTGTTCCCTGCTCGCCCCAACCGCATTCGCGTGGACATCTTTAAACGGGAAAAATATTTGTGAGTCAGTGGCTGGCAGAAATAAGCACTTGACCTTGTGGTGGATTGGCTACTTCGTCAGGAGGTTTTGGAGTTCCCTTTTCCTTCATTTCTCCCTCCTCCCCCCCTCCCCCCAGAAGTTTAACCACATATGTAGTGCTAGAGGTTGGAAATAGTCCAGTGTTAATTAAAATGAAAGAAGACTGTCATAGCATCTTATTTCCTCCCAATTTCATAACATTAGCACCTTTTGTTTTGCAATAAAAATGCCTTATTAGGTTTTGGAGAAGAGGTGGCATAAGGCTCCCCCAACCCTTGTCAGCTTAACAGTAGTTCTCAGAAAGACCCATTAAACTCCACGGATGCTGAAAAACTCAGATTTTTTGTGGGGGAGGGGTTTTCTTGGCAATATCCGGTGGATCTGAAGCACAGCTAAAAACATAAATTTGAGTTGGGCCAAAGAGGTCAATACCATGCTCATAAATTCTTATATGAAAAATAGAAGTTGTATTCTTTGTATTTAAGTATTGGCCCATGATAGTCTGTGTTGGCTGTCTTCCTCCTGTAGCATCCTTGTTTTGGGAACTTCTTTTTAGTAGACTAAGTGAAGACTCAAGAGTGGTATGCTTTATAAATGATGCACTTTTCTAATCAGATTTTTAAAAATTCTTTGGCGAAATCCTCCCCTAATTGCCAGTCCCGTGGCGAGGCCCCTCTTCTCCACCAGGAATCAACACATTTGTCCTCCTGGTGGCTTCTCTGCACGTGGAGATGAGAGCGCCCCTTCTTCAAGTGCAACGGGGTCTGAAGGACGGAAGGAGTTAGAGCTGCATTCTAAGGGCCCGAAGCCAGAGCCGGTGCCAGACATTCTGCTACCTCTCGTAGAACTACCGAGTAATTCTAAATTTAAAATTGGAAGTTGGGAAGGATAAGCCATTGCTCCTTTACCTCTGAGAACTGGCTGCTGTTTCTGTTTTTTTTTTCCCCTGAGATAGCTATGTACGTTAGTTAGAAAAAGATTTTTATTGATGAGATACTGTTACTCTTTCTTGAATCAGTATTCCAAAATCAGCAATCAGGAAAAGGAGAACTGTGATAAAAACCCAGTATTCCCATCTCCCCTGTTTTCCAGAAGTGACATTTCACACATGGGTGCCAAAAGCGAATGGGGTGAGGAAAGCAGGAACCTTTTGCATTTATGGTTGCTATAGAAATTGTGGAAATTATGATCTGACTGGAAAACAATTGTGTATAATCTCCCAAAGAATCATGGACTTTTGAATAAAAAAAGCAGACAGTACACTGTTTCAGGACTTCAGCCTTTTAATTTTATCCTTTGTCATACATGTGAAAGGCAAATATTAAGGACATTGATAGTAAGTTACTCATTATGTTCTTGTTTGATGTTTTGCAGTATCAGACAAACTTGAGTGGAATTAGTTCTTTGAATTGGACTGTGGGAAATTTTAAGTGCAAACAGTAATTTTAACTTCATCTTTCCCTTGACAGAGATGACTACTCTTTCTTCTTAAAATTTAAAAAGTTCAAGATAATCACACTCTTGAAACCACCTAGTTCTTTTCATCCTACTTTGTTACCTGTTTGATATCATTTCTGGTCATGAGTAGGTAGATTTGAACATGTACAGATAAATTAAGGGTGGCATGAATTGTTTCATGTTAGAAACTATTCAATAATCAATACAGGTATATGTCTATCAGTATGTCTAAAATTATATTTAACTGAGTAGCAATCAGAAATGGATCTTCCTAACAAAATAATTTATACATATGAGGTTCTTTTTCATAGAAAAATAAAGAGGCAACATTATTTACAAGTTTGAAACAATGTTGCTTGCTAACTGATTAGTTCTTGTGTCCTTGGCCTGGCGTTACTTCTCTAAAGCATTCTAGAAATACGTGAGCATGTCCTGGAGCCAGGCTGTATTCCAGGTGCTGGACTATGGTGTTCAACAGGACGGGCAAGACCTCTGCTCTCTGGGACCTTATGCTTTAGTGAGGAAGGAGACAAATCAGTGAAAATATCAGGGTAAGTGCTTTGATAAAAATAAAACTGGGTAATATGATAGGGTCTGTTTCTAGGCAGTAGAGCTGCTTTTAATTTGGTGGTCAACAAGCTGTGCCAAGGAGGTAACATTTTAGCTGAGACTTTGTGACCTGAAGGAGCCAGCCATGGGAACAGACAGCCAGGGGGTGCCGGGAGCCAGGAGATGGTGTCAGGAGGAACGTCTGAGTATTTAGCTCACTCTTCCCCTCACTCTCCTCCCTATTTTTGTCAGTGATATCAGTGTTTTTAATTTCTCTCTTGGTGACCATATACACCTTTTTCAATGGTGCGTTTAAACTTATGTTTTTTGTTCCGTCAACTCCTGACAACATCTCCTGGCTCCCAGGAGCTTTCCAGGTGAGGCAGCAGCTGGTCCAGGGGACCTGAGGTGTTCAGGAGAAGACTCAAGGACCAGTGTGTGGCTGGAGTGGAGTGCAGGAAAGGCAGAGTAATAGGAAGATGTAGCAGTCTATGATTTCATAAAGCAATATAGGAGGAAAAATAACCAGGTATATGATGTCACACAAGTATCCTGAATAGCAAATGTAAGACACCATTGGTTGTGAGACGTCATCACAATGTATGTGCCACAAAGAAAAAAGCCTGCCAATGAAGCAAATCCATCCTGATTTCAATGCCGTAAAAATTAGGAAAATGTATGTTTTAGATAAGATGAATTATGATATATGCATTTAAATTAAATGACAACTAAAATTCACCTGTGTTGGTCTAGAAACTGCATAGTAATAACACTGTTGAAACTTAACAGTGGATAAATAGAGTGACAGGGACTAATATATATGGTTAATGTTATAGTAGGAAACTTGACTTTGGTATTTTATTTTTATTTTTTAAAGATTTTATTTATTTATTTTAGAGAAAGGAGAAGGGAGGGAGAAAGAGAAGGAGAGAAACATCAGTGTGTGGTTAACTCTTGCCTGTCCCCAATCAGGGACCTGGCCTGCAACCCAGGCATGTGCTCTGACTTCGAATTGAACTGGCGACCCTTTTGTTTGCAGGCTGGCACTCAATCCACTGAGCCACACCAGCCAGGGCTGATATTTTTATTTTAAAAATTCATTAAATTATTTAATCAAAATTGTAAGTGCATGTACTTTAAAATTCTAATGGACTAGAGGTGCTTGCAATGGAAGCTCTTATTCTTGCTCTTCCCTGCCCTCACCCTGCTCCTCAAAAGCCCTACTGAACCATTTCTGTTCTCAGATCATGCATTAGGTGCTCCCATGTTTCTAAGCACTGTCCTTGCGCTGTTCTTTCCTGCTTTTCCATCTCAGACATTCCTGGTGACAGCTTGCTGCGGTAGATGAGTATTTAGCTCACTCTTCCCCTCACTCTCCTCCCTATTTTTGTCAGTGATATCAGTGTTTTTAATTTCTCTCTTGGTGACCATATACACCTTTGTCAATGGTACGCTTAAACTTATGTTTTTTGTTCCGTCAACTCCTGACATCTCCTGGCTCCCCACTCTGAGAGGTGAGGCCATGACTGACACTACTGCCCGTCACCACGAGATCTCACCTCCTAGCTGTGCTCAGCTCTTCCTTCTCGGTTCTACCTTCTACTTTTACACTGTCAAGGTAGATTACATGAATGTTTTATTTTGTTGCTATAACTCAAGGTTTTCTGCTTTATAGATTAATTCTGAAAGTTGAGTAACAGTCAACAACAATTTGATTATTATGGTGCATGCAGTATGACTCGTGACTAAGCCCGCCCCGTAGGTCTGGGATCACAGCACCAAGGGGGCTCCTGGCACACAAGTGGCCCAGTGGGGCTTTTCCATCAGTTGCCTGACTTGCACCACATTTTAGTTTGCTTCATCTTTAGACTCTTTCCTATGCAGTGTGTCCCCTTTCTCTCAAGTTTGGTTGCTTTTTTTCTTGGTGAGAGGATAATTATGTGCAGTCTGTTCCCTGATGCCACTTTTCCCTTCTGTTGCTTGGGATCTGCCTCCATCCTCCTGAAAGCTTCCTGCTTGGAGCTCATCGTTTGCCTGATCAAATTCAGACTGAGTGCTTTCTGGATCCTCTGCACAGTTGCTGTACTGAGATTTGTTTTCATTGGATACTTGAGTTAAACCCAGTTGGGTAGACCGGTTCAAGCTGATAGCAATCAAATCGAGACATTAGTTGAGAACAGTCATTGTTATACCATGAGACAGATAGCTGACATACTCAAAATAGCCAAAGCAATACTGTTATTGGTGAAAATGAAAAATGTATTTTTTTGTTTTATGGAAAAACTGAAACTTTTTGGCCACCCCAATGCCTATGAGGGAATAGAAAGATCGCCAGAATCTCCATGTATACAAGTGGGGCTCGTGCAACCGCAGTCTGGGCCTTGGGGTGACGTGGAAGATGGGCATGGTGCTGCCGATCTCTAAGGCCTAAACTGGGAAGGCGCACTCTGTGTTGCCAGCTGCCAGGCTGGCCTCCTCCGTACTCCCGGATCCTGTTTCTTTACAGAGAAGAGCTCTGGTGACGGACTCCGTCTTTCCTGTAGGAGTAAGGACTGTTTCCTAGGCAGACCTCTAATTGCTCTCACTGTTTCCTGCCACGCTCCATCCTGCTGCTGCTCGGGCTGCTGAATCGAGGACCACTCTAGGCAAATCAACGCCCCCATCTCTACAGCCCCTTTGTTTCTTCTTTTCATTTGTCAATTCCCTTCTGGACCTCAGCTTTCCTAAATTTGTCACACTCATGTGTTGACTAGTGGCCATTGCCCATTCTCTGGGTCCTCTGGAGTTTTTCTTTTCTAGGATTTGGGTGGAGGCTTCAGGAGGCAGGATGGACTAACATTTGCATGCAGAATTCCATTGTGACCTGGTTTCATTTTCACAAATATTTACTATTTCCTCTTTATTTTGCAGATCAGTGTTGAATAAAGGGTAGAATGAAACCAATGATTTGACCTTATGCATGGGACATCTTGAACTTGGGAGCCTGTGGCAGTCTCTGTTCTGCAGGAGTGTAGACCTCACTGATGGGGTCAGACCTGGGTCTGGCCAGTTGTTTTCCATCAACTTTAAAGTGAGGGTTTCAAGCCCTGGCTGTTGTGGCTCAGTGGATAGAATGCTGGCCTGCGAACCAAAGGGTCACTGGTTTAACTACTAGTCAGGGCTCATGTGTGGGTTGCAGGCCAAGTTCCCAGTAGGGGGAGCGTGAGAGGCAACAACCCATTGATGTTTCCTCTTTGTCCCTCCCTTCCCCTCTCTCTAAAAATTAAAAAAAAAAAAATAGGGTTTCATGGATTTTCCCTGAGCCTGATTTGATTGCATTAATTTTTTTTTTTTGTCTTTTGGGTGATGAGTTTACTACTTAGTATGTGAAGTAGTGATTTCTTGTTTATCCTATCTTTTTTGAAATGTGGTTGACTTTGGATGTTCTTGTTTTAGTATGGTCAAGCAAACTGAGTTAACTTACATATGCTTTTAGTGATTTTATAGGACTTTTTTGCCATCAGGCTTAGGGACAAATGTTGTTTGCCAGTTGTCATTGAAATGCCTTGCTCCCAGGCAGAGCTGTTTTTAAAATGCATATTGCTGGTGTGGACTACCTGACTTCTTTTTATATGTTAACTACATACACTTCACTTTCTGAGGACTTTTGGAAAGGATGTAGTATATATTTTAAAAGTAATTTTGGCTCTAGGTTTGTTTTGTTTTGTTTTGTTTTTTTTAGATTTTTATGTATTTTTAGAGAGGGTGGAAGGGAGGGAGAAAGAGAGAGAAACATCAGTGTGTGGTTGCCTCTCGTGTGGTCCCCACTGGGGACCCCTCCTGCAATCCAGGCGTGTGCCCTTACTGGGAATTGGACCAGTGACCCTTTGGCTTGCCGCCCATGCTCAATCCACTGAGCTACACCAGCCAGAGCAGGCTCTGGGGTCTTTTCTATGAAGAAAGCTCCTTCCTCCAGGAATACCCACCGACTCCTGTCTCTGTCTAGTTTAAGTGCTGGGGCACATTCTGATGTAGTGTAGCTATTAATTTTTAGCCATTCAGTCTTGGGCTGCTCAGTTAGATAATCTCAGTTACACTAGCAGTGTAGTCAGAAGTATTGCTATAATGATTTACTGCCACACATGTGACTCATAAAGGTGGAATGCTGTCACTGGTTTGTCTGAGGAGCTCAGACACAGGGCAGAGCTGAGGTCCCCTCCTACCCAGTGGCTGTGGCTCAGGTGGAAGAGGAAGAAGCCCCAGCTGCCCCGAGG